AGAGAGGTAGCAAATACAAGAAATATGTTACTACTAATTATCTCAGAGAAGGAACTATGAATTTTCACTTTAAATATATTTCTATAATGCCTGAATTTTTAAAAAATGATACTGCATTTTTTTATAAGAAGAAAATATCAATAGTTTAATCCTAAAAGTGTAATTTAAAATACTGGGGCATGGCAATTAGAGCAGTTTTAACCTAGCAGTTAAATTGCTGGATCCCACATGGCTGATTGTGCAATTTGAGCCCCAAACCCACCAGCTTGAAAAACATTGGGTGTGTGTGTGTGTGTGTACGTGTGCTCAAAATTCTGAAAGGAGAAATGGAGAAGGAACTGTGGTTCACCATCCCCCTGGAGGGAAGGGGAAATGCTTTCTCACTTTCCCTTTTTCTCTCCAACACACTCTCTGGCAAATTAAAGAGAAAAAGAAAAGAATACCTGCAGAAACGGTCTCACTTAATACTTTCATCTCTAGCTCACATTTTGCTGTTTCAGATTCTTCCTCGACAGAACTCTGGAAAGAAGAAAACAAACAAACAAACACAGGGATAGATGCATATGACCATCAGTGTCTGCTTCGGCTCAGAGTCATACTCTTCCTGTTCTAGTTCCCATTTTGGATGTCTGCTACCTTAAATCTAGGACTCCAAACTGACACTTGCATAAAACTGGACTCAAAAGGGAGACTTTTTATTTTTTTTAAAGATAGATTTTTGCTGTAGGGTGTGTGTGCTTGCCAGAAAGACAGAGAGAGACAGAAAGTGAGAAATCACTCCCCAGGGGGTATGACCATGCCACAATCCCTTCCTGATTCTCCTCTCAAGATTTGGGGCACACATGCACACACACCTGCCGAGTCTGGGACTCTAAAACTGCAGTAGATTACATGGGAGTCCACCAACATTGTCATTATGCCATCTGCTGTCCACAAAAGCGACTTTAAAAACCAACTTGGGGGGCTGGCAGGTGGTGTGGTGGTTAAAGGTGCTGGACTCCCACATGGCCAACCTCAGTTCAAGTCCCAGCTCTGATGGCTTGCTTTCTCACTTTCTCTCTCACTCTCTCTCTCACGCTATCCCTCTATGGTCAAATAAAAATAAATAAATAAGTAAATGGATAAAGATAAATAAAATAATTAAAGAATGGAAAAAAAAAAAAAAAAAAATTAAAAAAAAATAAAAAAAAAAAAAAAAAAAACTAAGGACCAACTTCAAGGCCTGGTGTTGAAGGCAGCGGAATCTGACATGACCGACCCTGTAGTTTGAGTCCTGACTCAGAGGCTGAGAAAATATGCTGGGCGCATGATCCCAAGAGGAGAATGGAGAAGGGATTGCAGTGTGGCCATCCCTCCCACCCCCCGTGGGTGATTTCTCACTTTCTGTCTCTCTGTGAGCGTATGCATCCTATAGCAAAAACCTCTTCAAAAAACAAAACAAAACAACAACAACAAAATAAGTATAAGGCTCCTAAGTTGTAGGGCATTACTAAGTACTAAGAATTACAAAATTAAAAAGATGAGGTCTTGATTTAAGGAACTTCCAGTCTATTAAGGAAGCAGGTAAACAAACAAGTACAATATAGTTTTGTGGGTGTTCCAGTAGAAGGATAGTAATTCACAATAAAGGGTATAAGAAAGAATAGTTGATTCTGTGGGAAAATGGGTGAGTGGAGTTACAGAACACTACCTAAAGGTGGTTAAGTTTGTACCAAATCTTGAAAGATAATGAGGTCTTATCCGAAAATGGTAGTAGGTAAATCCAAGTGTAAGCAAAATGCATGAAGCAAAATAGGGTTCCAAGCACTCCTCATGGTCAGGTGTGGCTGGAGTGAGGCATGCAAAGAGATGTGAAGATCTGAGGTAGAGAGGTCCAGGGTCCAGATCTCGGAAAGGTTTGGATACTACTCTAAATATTTCAGAATTTCTCCTATGGGTAAAGGAGAGCCCACAAAAGACACAAAAGAGCCCACAAATAGAATACTAAGAAGAAATTTGCAAATGCAGAGTATTCCAGTGGTCAGTTGGTGAATGAACTACTCAGAGAAGTGTTAGCATAACCAGACCATAAGAGAACCAAAATGACTATACTTACTACTCAGGGTCCACCTTCATAGATCATACGTTAGGAAATCTGCCTTTAACTTCTGTCTTGCACTTCACAGAACCTAGCCTTTATCTCCCTCATAACAGATGGGGTCTAGTGTTTTAGTAATAGAAGTTAGCCTAACAATGGCCTTGGGAGTCTTTATGGATGCCTATCTATGGAGTTGGGAAGGGAAAAATGCCACCAGTGCCCTCCTACCTGACCTTCAAAGAGTCTATAAGCCCAAGCATTACAAAGCCACAACTAGCTTCAAAACCAGGATCTAAGGGCTGTCATGTCTGACTCCATTTACTTCTGTTGCTTTGTTCATCATTGCCTTTTTTTTTTCCTCCATAGGTCACATGCACTTGCCACAGAGGGACAACGAAAGGGAAAGGGAGAACCCCCAGGGTGGCTGTGCCACAATCTCTTCTCCATTTTCCTCTTGGGATCTTGAGTATATGCACATGCACCAGCATATTTCTCAGGGTGCTGGATTTTGGACTTGAACCATGCAGTCATCCATGTGGGATCCAGTTGCCTTAACCACCACACCACCAGCTGGCCCTATCATTTATCTTTAAGACCCTTGCAAAGAATGAAACTGGTCATTCTGCCCTGCCCTGCATACCTAGAAGAGAAACTGCACCTCGTTGCCCCCTGACACTATCACATCTCCTTGTGATCTTGCGGGAGACGGGATCCTCATTAACTTGCCCTTTGTTTCTTCCCCTATATAAGCTTTGTATCTTGTCAGTACTGCAGAAACAGTTATAGACTCAGCTCTGCCTGCTTCCTGGTGTGCCTGAATACATTCCTTTTCTTATTCACAAAGTTTTTATCTCTTTGCAGCAAATTAGCCCAGACCTGATTTTGGGCCCCAGGAAGGAGCATTCCAGCCTATTCTAGCATAATTAGAAGTCCAGGGCAGGGAGTATGAGGGCCTATCCCAAGGTGGAAGCAATCAGGGCTATGAGAAGGAAGACATATGACAGATGACAAGGAAGTTGAGCCAACATAATTTGGATGGTGACAAGGGAGAGACTAAGGCTAATTTTCAGATGTCCATCTTAGGTAATACGGTGGAGAGTGGCAACAAAAATTAAAAAGAGAAGGAGGAAGAACAAGTTTGAGGAAAAAGTAATTAATTTGATTGTGCATATGTTGAATATGAGGTGCCTCTGGGACATCTATGTGGCCTTTGAAAGATTATAGTAATTAAAAATATCAAAGTTATCAGACCAATAAGCTAGTTAGACTAATTCACAGTTTCAAAAAGTTGAAAAGTCTTCAAAGAGTTTAAATCAACTGGTTTCTTATCTTGCAGAAACACTAAGAATTCAGACATTGACAACAGAACTTTCCCCTAGATAACCACAGACAGTCAGCGTGCAACAACAGGAATTTATCTGCTTGTATTATCACACAATAAAGAAAATAATCTTGCGTGTAACACACTGCCTTATGTAATTCAAATTTTTTAAACAAACCCTTTCATTTAATCATCTTTTTTTTTAGGTTTTTGCCATAGGGTGCATTTGCTTGCCAGAGAGACAGAAAGAGGGAAAGTGAGAAATCACCTCCAAGGGGATAGCCATGCCATAACTCCTTTTCCTCCTGGGATTTTGGGCATGCAAACACATGTGCCTGGCATGATTTTTAAGTCACAAGGTTTGGGACTCAAACTGTAGTCTACCATGTGTGAGTCTAGCACCTTAACCATGTGTGAGTCCAGTGGACTGGCCCAAAGTTAGACTTCTTGATGCAGGATGATGTGACAATTTGCATTCTAGTGCAAGTTCCTTTATCTTGGTGACTATTCTAGAATGTTCTCTCATTGCTGCTTTGTCATCAGAATATACTGCTGCACAAAACTTAAGCTTCAAACCTCTTTCTTGACAACATAATCCTTCATAATTTTAAGCAATGTCAAGCTCCTTGTATGTTGTTAATGAAATTTTTAAAAATGAGTCTTTATTCACATTTTGTGTTTTATATCTGGAATGATAGTCCTCTTTCATAATTGGCTATTTTCCATGTTTTTTTTTTCCTCTAGATAAACTTTAATGGTGTTTGTGAAGTCTCAAAAATTACAAACTGAAATTTTTATTTAAATTGCACTATATTTATGGGTTTGTAATAATGTATAACAAATAACATTTTCAAAAGATGTTTGCTTGGAAATTTTAACAGAATATAAAGCAGAGAGGAGCTAAAGTATAACTTTTCAGTGATACCTTAGCTCAATATATACAGAAACTGGCTTATTATATGGAAGAACTTCAAGGAATACTATAAAAGCATGTTTCAATGCAACTTGATAAATACATACAGGTTATAACATAGAGATCCTTTCAATATATGTGCAACTTGAATCTGATAGAGTAACAGACCTAAATCATCAATCATAGATCAGTGAAAACAGAATTACGATTCCAAAAATAGACCTAAGAATCCACTTGGGAATTTAGCATATGATATTTCAGATCAATGAAAAAATAAAACAACCTAGGTCTATATGGTGTTTGGAGACAGCTGGCTAAGAATTATAATAATTAAATCATTTTTCCCACTTTATACTAAAATAAATTCCAGATGCATAAAAGATGTAAATATAAAAGCATAACTAAACCAATCAAAAGCCACAAAACACTGAAAATATCTGGTCAGGATATAGCAAATTGAACCCAACAATTATTAGAGAAGTAGGTAAGTAGGTGATCTTGATATTGTACATCTATAAAATGTCAGCACAGACCACTTTATAAATCTGATAAAATGTCTTGAATTTTATTCTGAGTCGAAAGAAGATCTATACAAAAGAAGTTCATTGGTCTAAAATCCACTTTTTTTATTCTTTTTTAAATTTGCTACAGGGTGCGTGTGCTTGCTGGAGACAGAGAAAAAGAGAGAGAAAGGCAAAGTGAAGGGGACCAGCAGATAGTGTAATAGTTAGGTTGCTTGACTGCCATATAGTGGACCTCAGTTCGAGTCCCGGACCCAGTAGCTGGAAACTCACACTGTGAACGTGTGTATGTGTGCCCAAAATCTTGAGAGGAGAATGGTGAAGGGATTGCAACATGACCATCCCCCTGGGGTGGGGGGGTGTTCTTGCTTTCTATCTTTCTGTGCCTCCGGCAAGTGCACACACCCTATAGCAAAAATATCTCTAAAAAAAAAAAGAAAGGAAGAAAGAAAGGCAAAGTGAAAAAGCATTCCCAAGGGGAAATGACAGCATTGCAATATTTTCTCCTCCAGTCTCCTTTCAGCACTTTGGGCATGCACACACATGTGCCTAGTGTGATTTTCAAGCCACCCAGTCAGAATTTAAACCATGCAGTCATCCATGTGGATGGGCCATAAAATCTACTTTCTTCATCAAGATGTACTTTAACTATAACTTCAGAATAAAATGTTGAAGTGGCCTCCCATA